CATGTTAAGATGCTCTACTGGACTTAAATATGATTTCTGAACTTAACCGGTATAACCGGAACTGATTAAACTCGGAACTGAACTGACATGAATTTACTGAACTGGTCTGGATCCGGAATTTAACTGAAATTGGGGTATGAACATGAACCGGGACTTAAATTACTAATAATGGGTCAAACCGGTATAAAACCGGTCGATTTCCGGTCTGGCTGGACCGCCGGCTCGCTGCGGCCGGGCGGTCGGCCGCTGGCTAGTTACCAGCACAACCGTGCGTGCGCACCAGGTATGACCTGGGCACTGCCGGGCGCGGCTGGTGTTGGCTGGCACTGGCTGGGCTAGGTCCGTGCACTGGCGGGTGCAGCTGGTACCGCATGTGCACTGGGATTGGCTGTTGGCGTGCTGCTGTGCACTGCCAACGGTCACTGGGCATAACTGGATGCTCGGCCGTGTTGCTGAGCACTGGCCGAGGCCTTACTAGGCATGCTGGCGCGCTATTGGGCGCGCTGGCTTGCGCTGGGACTGGCCAGAGCGCGCGGGGCGCTGCTGGTTGGCGGTGCTGGAGTGCTGCCAGCCCGCTGCTGCCGCTGTGTGCGGACAGCATGGCCATGACCGGCCCTTGCCGGCCGTTTGGCGACTTCCTCCGGCAACTTTAACATGAATGGACATAATAAAACATAACATGATCATATGTACTGAAATTACTTAAAAATCATGAAATTTTGCCCAATTAAGTGCCGTGGGGTGCGCTATGGGCGCTACCGTCGGCTTAAGGCCAATCCTCGGCCAAACATCAATTTACCTCGACCACTAAAGCTTGACTGACCATGAAATGCTATTTAAAGCTTATTAAGACTAGGGTTACTCGCATGATTCTGATCATATGCCATACTAACATAAAGAGCAACTACACGGCCCGTGGGCGTGCGCTAGATGCGCAGTCCACAATCATAGGCCATTTCATGAACTGAACCTCAATTTACCTCGACCCATCTCTTGAGACTGAACATATAATGATCTGAAGTAACTAATTAAACATGAAATGCTCGGTGAAATTTGAACAGAACTAAAGATCACTCGGTTAGACCCCTCATGGCCAATACCGAGCTTAATCAAGAACTTTACATGATTACTCCGACACGAGCTGAATGAACTGACTTAAACATAAGTTAAATAACATGAATAGATACTGATTATAAGCTTACCTCACTAAGTGTTCGAGGAATTTCCCACAAACGGCCATGAATCATCACTTCCGCACCTATGCTCGTGTGCGTGTGTTCTTGCACTATTTTAACCTTATTGTTGCTAAGTGTTTTGCTGTGTTTTTAGTGCGTGTAAATCCTCCCCCTTCCCTTCAAAATGCTGCCTTATTGCACGGTAAATAGGGGAGAATTGGCTTATAAGGTCTCGGCCAACCAAGTCTCGCCACTTGCCGTGCGTTAAGGGATGATGGGTGGCTTTCTCGGTTGACTCATCACTTCAACGGCTTAGTCACCTTCTTAACATCTCCCAGCCCTCCATGTGTCCATTCCTTGCTGAAGTTGCACGTGAGTTTCATGAGAAACTTGATCTCTTGGCTATTAGGCGCTAAGCGTACTTAAGCGCACTAATGGTGTGCTAATGGTGCATGTCATTGGGCTACACATGACTTAGTACATTCTTAGGGCCAATCAAGTTACTTAAATACATGATTAGCACTAAACATGATTACCTTAATTAATCCTCATTAATGTTAATTAATCTTAATTAACATTAAGCTAATCATAATTTTCTTAAGCTAATCTCGATTAATTAGCTTAAACATGATTAAGTTAATTAAGCACGGCTAATGACCATTACTTAATTAACAATGGACGGTGTACCAATGTGGATATGCCACAGTATAGGTAAACCGAACTTGACGTGAAGAACTTTAACTGAATTAATTATCGGAATATTATTCCGAACATGAACATGACATTCGAAAGTTAATTCGAATATGCTTGACTTAGACGATTAATCCGAACATAAATATTTCGAATAATTCATCAACTTGACTTATTAATTCCAGACTCATTAACTAATTAAATGAATCGGAATCAAAATCTGAAAACTTATCCGATTTATCCCACCGAATAACCTATCGACTAATAGTCGAATTTAGAGTATTATTGACTGAATTTCTTGATCTTGAACATGAACATAACTATTTATTAACAAAGGCTAGCTTAAAACTAAAAGCTAGTATTTTCCTTTATTAATAAAACTCGGGGTGTTACATCTTCTTTGACCGCCCTTCTTATTGTTCTTTTTTTTTCTTTTACCTCAATTGCTCAATCAAATCTTCATTTCTAAAAAAGAAAAGAAAAAACAAATCTTCATATTTATTATCATCAGGTGACGAGGTGCTGGGGTGGTTTAGGGCAGTACGGGGTGACGGGCCGCCAGGTGGTGATGGACTGGACTGAGGTCGTGATGGGTCGGACCGGGGGCGCAGAGGTAGTGACAGCGGGCCAAGGCCGTGGTGAGTCGATCTGGGCAGCGCAGAGGTGGTGATAGGAGAGGTACAAAAGACGCCGAATTTGGGAATGAAAATTAGGGCTATTTTTTTGTTATTTTAAGTTTAACCATTCTTCAACTGTGGTGTGGTTGTGGGGTTGATTGTTCTAAGCTGGTTGGTTTTATTAATATGTTTTTGGGTTGAATAATTGCAGGGCCAAATCGGTGGACAAAATTTTGCAGCAGAAAATGAGGCCTCAAAGTGGATGGCCATGGAATTTTATTTGAGCCGACTTTTCTAAATTTGGGCTATTGTTCGATAAATTTTTTTATTTGTTGGGCTAAGTTTGGGCTGCAACTTTTATTTCATTTAGGCTACAACTTTTTCAAATTTGGGTTATTGTATGATACTTTTTTTTTTGTTTATTGGGCTGTTTAGGCTTATAAGTTGATTTGATATGGGCTATGGATTGGTATATTTTGGCTATTGCTTGAGTAGGCCAAATTTGCTTATTAATTCTTTGTATGTTTTTTGTTGCCTGGGAAGTATGATCAATTAAGACTTTAGGATATAATATTTTCAATAACATGGCAATTGCAATACCAAGGATTTCAAAAACTTTAAGTATCAATTAAGACTTTATACTAAATAATATTTTCAAGGTCGGAGGATTTTAACAACTTTAAGTTGCTTCGTAACATATGCAATTAAATCATATTTTACAAAAATCATATCACAATATGAGTTTTACCATTGAAAGGTTGCAAAGTGATTATTCATACGACTAAAATAAAAAATAATTGAGATTAGAAACCAAATCAAAGAAGAATTGTGATTAGAAATAAAAATAAAAATAAAAATAAAAGAAATGGATCAAGTAAACAAATAATATGATGGTTTTTAAGGAGAAACAAATTAGTTCTTTACTAGTAGAGAAGTTAATGCTAATTTGAATGTAAAACAACCACCACAAATAAATATCAAAATCACTCAAGTACTACTTCAAAATAATCAAGCTCTTATAAAACAGTAACACACCATGTTACTACAAATATTTAAGTCCAAATAAAATTACTCCTTAGTCGAAATTGCTACTACAAATAGACAAAGTCTAATAATGAAAATTAATGGTGTTGCAAATAGTCCTAGAGTACGAAATATTGCAATGAGACATTCTCTATTCTCCAAATTTTAGTTTTGCCCGTTGTGAGATGAGCCCTGCTAAAGACAAAAAAAAAAACCTTAAATTTGAATCAATATTCTTTTATCCTTGACAAATTAAATATCATCAATATCAAACTATTCTTAAACCTGAGATGATAGAGGAAATGGATATCCGAATAAATATACATTTCCAATGCCTCCCTGCAAAACAAATATATAAGATATAAATGTCTTTTTTCATGTGTTTACCATGAAAAAAAAGTATTACCTCTTGAGTTGGATATTGCCAAGGTGCTTGACTTGACTCGGACTGAGGTGAAAATTGTGGAGCTTGGAATGGAAATGGACGTGGTGGCACATTCGGGAATTGGGGAAGTGGTATGTTAGGGAACTGAGGTAGTGGCATATTAGGAACTTGAGGTGGCGACATGTTAGGAACTTGAGTTCGTGGGATACTATCCAATGTTTGTGAGCTTTGAATGCCTTGTGTACTTTGAGCTTTTCTTTTCGATCCTTTTTCACCTAAAAATAAATACATTCATTCAAGTTAGGAAAAAAAAAACATTGATTTTTTATTTGAAAGACAATTCAATAATATTTAGCTAAACCAAAACCTTACTTGAAGCATTCCCATGCACCTTCGAAATTCCTTTTCCCTTTTTGTTCTTTCTATCCCAATGACGAGTAATGCATACATTAGTTAATCCTCTCGACTTGGCCGTAAGTGGATTAAGTATCCGCACACCAAGCTCATTACCATCATTTTCAACATCATCATGCATACTCGAATCTTCAAGATCCAAATTTTGAATAAAATCAACAATTTGGTCTCTTGTTGAATCGAGCATTGTGGTCAACATGTTCCGAGCCTCCAAGTGAGATTTGCTCATGTGAGCAAGATTATAGGCCGCTCTCATCACTTTGTTCACGAAAACAAGATCGGATTCTTCACCACTTCCACAAAGGACATTAGTAGCCTTAAAATCATTAAAAACCCTCAACCTTGCACATTTCATCCACCTCTTCAAAAGATAAGCCTCCGGAATCATAGTTACATCCATGTAGTTAAACACCATTAAAACATGCTTGCATAAGATTCCCATGGTCTCAAACTTGTGACAACTACACCTTGTCTCATCAAGCCTTATTCTTAAGCTATCACCGTAGGATTTCACTCGAAATTCTAGTGAAGAACCGTCATTACCATTACTAAAAGGTTGGCCATCAAATTTGCAATTCAAAGAATTGACAAGTTCAATCTCAAACAACCCATAAATGGTAAGCGTGTAAATACTAGCAACATGATTGAGCAAAGGGTTGTTCTTAAGAATTTGAGAGGGTTTTCCATGACGACAACGAGTATCTTCAACCTTCTCTTTTGTGCGCCATTGATGTTGAACTTTTTCATAATTCATCACGAAATCATACAAAGAGCTACTCTTGCTACCCGATTGTTTTAAGACTTTATTTGCACTCTCACTCCTCGATGTAGCCAAAAGTCCAGCACTAAATAACTTATTACTAAAAACCGTGGCCCATTTTCTCCTAATCTTGTACATGCTATTAAACCACTTATCATCATGCAAGTGATATGAATTTATCATAAATTTCCAAGTGTTCTCAACCTCTTCCTCAGATTCACAATGAGACATGCACTTATACCATAAAGCCTTGAAGGATGAATTACCATTTAAATTCCCGAAGTGTGAAAGGGTATTTGGATTTATATGCCACTGACACAACCGATGATGAGAATTCGGGAAAACATTTTTTATTGCATTCATCATGGCTTGGCATTGATCAGAAAATATTATTTGAGATTGTTTACCATTCATTGAATTAAGAAATGTCGTGAACAACCATTCAAATGAACTTTGAGTTTCATCCGACATAAAAGCCAAGCCAAACAAAACATTATTCATGTGGTGATTTATGCCAATAAATGGAGCACATATCAAATTATACTTATTTTTTCTATAAGTAGTGTCAATGGACAGAACATCACCAAAGTACTCGTAGTCCACCGCACACCTATAATCCCTGAAGAAAAAATTCACCACCCTATCATCGTCATTCAACTGCACATTCCAGTAAAAGAAAGGTTATGTATTTGCCTTATAAAATGTTGAAGTAATGCATTGGCATCCCCATTTTCAAATTTTGTATGCTTCTTTAGTCTCCCAAAATGGTCATATGCGTCATTTCTAATAAAGCCTAAATTTTCAGCCCCACATGCTTCATTCTCCATATAAGAAACAACACTAGCAACAGATATTCCAACATTTACCATTGCTTCCAAAATTGATTTTTTGGCATGAGAAATGTTACGAGCTGACCTTAACAAACGAGTTTGGTCTGGAGCAAACATTTCATGATTATGTTCAACAAAAAATTTACTCACTTGCCAATCTCCCCCTTTCGGCCTCGTAATCTTAAGTTGTGCTTTACATGAAGTTCTAGTTACCGGCTTTTGATAAATTGGTATTTTTTTACTAGAACGTTTTTCATCTTTTTCACCAGCACAAGAAAAACGAAAGCTCTTCGACTGAATTTCACTACTACGGAGAAAACAAAGTTGATCTCCTTTTCTAACGCTAAATCCTTTAGCATGTGCATATTGACAATAAAGCAAATAAGCATCTTCAATACTATTTGTAAGTGCTGAAGATTGGCAGTAAATCGATGAACCTTCTGATGTTCGCGGAGTCCAGAAATTTACGGAAGTATTTAAGGGAAGTTTATTTTTGGTATGAATAAGTCTTAATTTTAATTAAGTCCAAAGGACTGATTATTTATGTTATTATTTTGGCAGGACTTTGGGATTGAGGGGGAGATACGCTTTCCATAATCTAAAAAGAAGGAGGATTTTGCGAGATTCACCTTCCATAATCGAAGATGAAGAAGTTCAAGAGATTTACATTCCTTATCTGCATGTGTCTTGGGTTAAAAGACTTTCCAAAGGGTGTTGAATATAAAAGGAAGACGAGACCAGAGTTGAGGATGACTTTTTTTTATCTGAATTTTTGAGTTAGTTATTTTTCTTTCCTTGAGTGAAAAAGAGTGACATTCAGAATATTTTGTAAAAGAACGTTCAGAGGTTTGTTCTTATAGTTTGAGGGATTCGAACTAGAAAATGCACAAGGGAGTTGGGGTCGGATAAGTAGTTGTGTGAATCATCATTCAAGTAGAGTGTAGAGGGAGTCTATACTGTAAACCCTTGGATGATGTATGAGTTGTTCACATTAATGAAAGAGATCTGAAGGGAGAGTGGGACACTCTCCTGAAGGTTCAATTTTTAGTGAAAAAAAGCTTCGGCAATTGTTTGAATCTTCATTACTGTCTGTCTATTCGATTTACGTGTAACTCTGGATACTTGGTGTTCAAGTATCAAATTACAATTGGCACCAGAGCGGGTTTTCGTCTTCATTACGAAAGATCCTAGGACGTTGTTACCCTCAAATCATGAATCAAGAAAGCGGATCGATGTTCAGGCCCCCGCAATTGGACGGTTCGAACTACTCATATTGGAAGTCTATGATGACAATCTTTCTGAGATCGCTTGGAAAAGGCGTGTGGAAAAGTGTTGAAAATGGCTGGGAGCATCCAGTCATGCAACAAGCACCCAATCAAGGTAAAGAAACAATGAAAGTCACGGTTTCTAAACCTAAGGACAACTGGACTGATGCTGAGAAGCTTCAAGAAGAAGCCAACTATCGTGCCTTGTATGCGATTATGATGGCAGTTGATCAGATAAGACACAAGATGCTAGTTCATTGCAAAACTGCAAAAGATGCTTGGAGGGTCTTACAACGTCAATTTTAAGGTTCAACGGCTGTCAAAGCGTCCAGACTTCAACGGGTAACTCTTGAATTTGATGAGATCAAAATGAGGGATGAAGAGACAATTGACGTATACTATGCCAGATTCTGTGATTTGGTAAATCAAAGCATGATGCTTGGAGAAGAAATCTCTGAAAAACGTCAAGTACAAAAGATTATGTGAACCATCGTTCCCAGGTTTAGAGAGAAAATCACAGCTCTTGAAAGTTTCCAAAGAGTGGCGTCGTTAGATGTTGATGAACTTCTTGGAGAGCTCAGAACTTTTGAAATCAACAACAATTATGACAAAGTCAAAAGTAAGGGCTTAGCTCTCAAAGCTGCTGTAGTCGAGGAAAGAGAAGAAAGCGATGACGATGAAGGTCCGTTGACAGATGATAGTGAGCTGAAAGAAGCACTAGCTTTAATCGTACGAAACTATGGAAAGATGAGTCAAAGGCTGTACAAGAACAAATTTGCTGGAAAAAAGGAGAACAGTTTCAACAAGAATGTGGTGCTGGACAAGAAAAGTAGTATGCCACTCTAGAAATCCGATTCACAACGAGTCGAGAAGGATCGATGCAGGGAGTGTCGAGGCTTTGGACATTTCCAGTATGAGTGTGCTAATCTTAAGAAGAAGAATAAGTCACTGAAGGCAACCTGGGAAGATTCAGATGAAGAAGGCACAGACGAACCTTCTTTACACACAAGCAACCTGGCAGTTCATACCTCAGTCAAGAAGTTCATGTGTCTCACCACTTCACATGCTCCGACCAAGTTTGAAGAAAGTTTGAAAGAAACTGAAGCATCTGAGGATGAAGCAGATCAAAATGTGTGTGTAGATCCAGTTCACTTACTTGCTATGGAAAAGTGTGCTCAAGCATCTAAGGCTCTACAGAAGCTTCAAAATGAAGTGTTTAGACTTTAAAGAGCAAACAGGGTGCTGAACGAACAAGCATCTGCCTCCACTACTACTAAAGAGTGTGAACTGGATACTGTAAAGGCACGAACCTGCATCCTTGAGAGCAGTGTCAAACTTGCTAAACAAGACGAACTGGAGAAGGCTCAGACCATTGAATGCTTGAGGACCGAACTATTCTCTACTCAGAAACTTCTTGCCGAGCGGAACCAGGAAATTTTGCTAATGAAAAATGAAGCTGGTCGGCTGATGAACGAACATGCTAGCATGGAAAGCAAGCTGAAGGCAAATTCTGCTGAGTTGAACCGAACTGCAGAAGTTGTTCAAAAATTGAACAAGGGAAAGGCAGATCTGAATGAACTTCTTTCCTTGGGAAGGCAACATGGTGATCTTACTGGAATAGGGTACTCTGGTAGGGAAGACATTCCTGAGTCCTCAACTGGAACTTCAAATACAAAACATACCGGTCTTGGATTTGGGGACAAACTTGGAGTTGGAGGTGTGAACCTCCATGGGAGACCTTCCAGAAACGTGTTTGACAGGTTTGTAAAAATCACTGTAAGTAAACCCATATCTCCACAATCTCCCTTGAAGGTTCATTCTCCCATGCAGAAATCTGTTAATAAAACTCACCATAACTTTCTTCATATATGTCATTACTGTGGTGTAACTGGTCACATAAGACCCAAATGCTATAAAATGCAGCATGATCTTTGTACAGGTAATGTTAGGGGTTGGAATCAGTCTGGCATTCCAGTGAAGGTCCATTCTAGGACCCTCTCAAATAACCGTACCAAAACTCATCAAGTGTGGGTTGCTAAGAAATCCTTCACCTGTTTTGCCTCTGTTCTGTCTCTCAGGACCACCCTGAAAGGTAAATGGTATCTGGAAAGCGGATGCTCTAGACACATGACTGGTGAACCTTCTTACTTGATGAACATTCAACCCAGTTCAAATGGGGAAGTCACATTTGGTGATGGAGTGAGCAATAAGGTTATTGGAACTGGCTGTTTAAATTTGGGTGGAATACCTAAACTAACTGATGTGTTACTTGTTGATGAACTAAAGGCAAATCTTTTGAGTGGGAGTCAACTCTGTGATCAAGGCCTTAGTGTCAGTTTCTCATGTGATAAGTGTTAGGTGAAAGACAGTGAAGGTTCTTGTGTACTTACAGGTTCTCGTTCAACGGATAACTGTTATCTTGTTGATTTTAATGAAAAACACCTTTTCTCAAATGTGAGCGAACCTGAAATATGGCATCAACGCTTAGGGTATATTTGATACTCTCACCTTATCAAATTGACCAATGCAGGTGTAGTCAGGGGTGTTCCAAAGTTTGTTGTGAAGGACCAGCCAATTTGTGAACCTTGTCAACTAGGTAAGCAAACGAGGACATCCCACAAGTCACTGAACCATATTGCTTCTAAACAAATCCTAGAGCTTCTTCACATGGATCTCATGGGTCCCATTCAGGTAGAAAGCTATCAAGGTAAAAATAAGTATATTTTTGTATGCGTTGATGATTTCTCTCGATATACTTGGGTTGATTTTTTGCGTGAAAAGTCTGACACATTCTCTGTCTTTAAGTCACTCTGTTTGAAGGTTCAAACTGAGAAACGTTTTCTTATAATAAGTATTCGAAGCGATCATGGAAGAGAGTTTGAGAATTCTGAGTTTGCTGAATTTTGTGATTCTCTGGGTATTAGTCACGAGTTTTCAGCTCCTAAAACTCCTCAGCAAAATGGAGTTGTTGAAAGGAAGAATCGCACTCTACAAGAAATGGCCAGAGTCATGTTGAACTCCAAAAACATTTCCTCCAGATGGTGGGCCGAGGCAATCAATACAGCATGCTACCTCGTGAATCGTGTGTACCTTCGTCGAGGTATTGGTCTGACTTCATATGAACTCTGGAAAGGTA